TTAAGTCGACACGGCCCGGGCGTGGTCAATCTGAGCACCAAGATTGGCCACCAAGAAATAAGGAAAGCAAGGAGAAAAAGGAAGAAAGAAAAAAGGAAAAAATAAAAGGAAATGATAAAAAAGAGAATGAAATATGAGATCACTTCAAATGGAGTTACTAAGCTTTTTTAATAAAAACAATTATTAACCTTACACGAAATTTACCTTTCTAAATAAATCCATTGATTTCTATTCTTTTATTTACATATTTATAAACCTATAAATATTCTTTAAAATTTCTAAAGATATTAGTTAATCTAATTTCGTAAATCAATATCTTCCTTGGCACCAACAGATAGTCAGACCGACGATTTGAAGGGCACCCTTTTTGTTCAAATAACGCTGGTCGAGTATTCAATCAAGTAAACTGGTACGGCCTGAATTGATAAGAATAATCAATCAATTAAACAATCAACCTGTCAATCAACAAAAATTCCTGTCAATCACCCTTCACCATCAATCATATAATCTTTACATCAATTAATAAATCAAGAATCATACCTGCATTGGGTCAAACACTACATACTCGGCTTGGTTAGAAAACCGAGGGGTTATTGGCGACGATGGACGTCCAGGGGTCTAGAAGAACAAACAACGTCAAATACATAAATGTTGTACAATAATTGAAACGGCATATTGTTCTGTAATGCGTCTTGTGATTGATTGTACATACACAACAAAACACTTACCAAAATTGAGTCAAATCCTGCCGGAGGAAGAGTTCTACAATACATTCAGATAATATTAACATAAAWTGTTCAAATAAACACCCGCCTAGTCCACACCTGTCGAGAACTATTCAGTAAACGATTAGAATCCTTCACTCACCGTTTCTTGTCTTGTTGAAATACAGATTCTGTTGCTCCTAAATTCACATTGGCCAGCAATAGTTTACCCGGCTAGAAAATAAGTAAAATACAGGTTTATATATAGACTGCTATCGAAATATTAGAGTACCCTCCTGCTTCATTGTAAAGTCTGCTCACCGGGGAGAATCTTGACGCTTGAGAAGCTTGTTTCGTGAAATAAAGACCTTTTCCATAAATTCCTTGAGTGAAGTCTATATAMAAAAAATTACATACACACAAAGCTGGGAGTTAGAAGTGTATTACATTTTATGCAAACGTTATAAGAAAATTGAACATTTTGCGATTATATTTGCGTTAACGAGACGTGGGGCAGTGTTTCGAAACTCGCTTATATATCTACCTCATTTTTATACGCGCGCCATCGTCTATATTATCAATGATATTAAACTGGGTAGTTACTTCAATTGTTGCAACCATAGAATAAACTTCTCCGGCAAGGACTCTTTAAAAAACGTGGCACGGACCCCTTAAAACGTGACACGGCCTCCTTAAAACAACGTGACAAGGCCTCACAGCTTCCGCAAAAAAAACCCGGCGCGTCGAGGCGCGGCGCGGCGCGGCGCGGCGCGGGATGGACTCTTAAAAAACGTGGCACGGCCTCCTTAATAAACGTGACATGGACTCCTTAATAAACGTGACACGGAGTCCTTAAAAAAGCCACAGGGGCATATGATATCAACGTTAACCTTGCTTGGTGAAACCACGAGCTGTGATATTGGCTAGACTGTCCACACTGRAATAATCTCCACAGTAGAAAAGCTGCTTTACCACAGGGGCGTGACCAGGCATTGCGTGACGACCGTCCAAATTTGTCTCCAAAAGCGACACGTGACTACATTCGACCTGTCAGAACACAACCAGTCCAAATAAGCTTTTCTTTTTTCTTCTTTTTGGCTGAAATCATTTGGACACATACTCCTCTTGGTCCGAGGTATCTATTCTCCCCTTTAACCTTGATTAGACTCGCAGTTCAACGTCAGTTCGGCGAACGAGGCTAGAGAGAAGAATAGATGGGACCAATAGCCATGTGTAAAAACGAAATTGCCATTAAAATTCAATGGTTCCTTTTTCCTATCAACACCACAGTTGATAAAAAGTATACATTACACTTATTACGTTTTAGAAGGCAGGATACAGCAGGTTAGTCACATGATTTTCTCAAGAAACGTCACCGTATGGTCAAAGTTGTGTATAACCTCGATTGGGGTTATTTTATGTACATGACTCTTAGCCCCTGATGCTATTGTTGATCTTTTGACAATCAAGCGCGCCTTACATGTCGCAATAAACTTATAAAGAACGAACTGATTTCTGTAAAAGTTACGTAGGAATATTCTTAGTTTTATTATGGTTGATTATGAGGCAACACCTCTGCAAATTTCTTAGTTATTCAGCAGATTTTTTTGAAGTTTTTGACATAATTCGATTCAATATAGAACAAATCCCTATGATAAAAGTGGATGCACTAAGTAGCTTAGAAAGAGATTCTTCAGAATTTAATATTCCAGTATTTGTGGTGGCAAGGTCTATATTTTTAGGCCTCTAACAAACAGATGGCTAAATGAATGGGATTAATGAATGAATGGATAAATGAACGAATGAATAAAATAACGGAGTTGGAACAGAAAAGACTGCCATACTTCACAAACATGGATTACTCAAACTTCCAACAATACAAAACAATGCAAAATCAATGTGATTGAATATAGCCACAAGCGATGATACGAGTAAGTTGCAGATTTTACCTTCTGAACAGTATTTACGCTGACATTGTTGTACTGGCCAGTTGTCAATAAACTGCGTCGAATTTGTTGGATGAGTTGTTTCTCGCTCTGAGAATGAATCAACGTCGACAGAAGTTCTTCATCCTCTAAAAAAATTGCAAAACATTAAATTTAAACATTAAAGTTGATTCCATATTTGCAACAATCGGTAGTAGGCATTCTCTCAAAGTGAAGATATTCAATCCGTGAAACAAAATAGAGAGCAGTTATTATATGAGTGAAACACAAAGAGTTGCAAAATTGCACATTAAACGATTCAAGCACATTATTTGTTTTAGCAACGTAAAGTGTTCCAAAGATATAGAGAATGTAATCTAGATGTCAAAAACGAAGAAGAGCTAGATTAAGGTGAGTCAGTACACAATATCTTTTGGGAGTCTGTAAATCATTTTTTTTTTTGTACTTATTGACTTATCCATCTAGAATCKGTTGTACGAAAGGTAGATTGAGTTTTTTTATCGGCTGTATAGTATTATCTATCCTTCGTTTAACCGGCTCCAGGTTAGTTCCTCGCACCTTTCGACACATCACCAAAGTCTCCCTTAGCAATAGCTTCCATGTCGAGTTTATCACTGGAGACATCGTCGAGTTGCTGTTTATTGAGTAGAGTTACAAGAGAATCGTAGAAATCCTCGTCTAAAAGAAATATTACRATAGATGTTCATTCAGCGGGKTTTYCTTCCAAAACRKYCTCCCCTCTCCTGTCCCATACCTTGATCACCMCTCMCCTTCCCCAAGACCCTGAAATTCACCGTGATCTCCAGTAGTTGTGTTATAAGTTGATCAAAAATATTCGAGTATATCTTTGACCAGTAGAGACGAAATGACTTGGTATTATTACTATTATCAAAATTTTACAGTATTTAGCTAAAAATATAACAAATATTTATAATTTCTAGCAGTTTTGTACCATTTGAATCAGGTTCGTCCTCGCCCAACTGCAATACCACTGAATTTTCTTCTTTTTCCAGCTGGAGATCGAGTAACTTTTTCTCTGCAAAATGATGAAATTTATGATTAAATGGAATTCAACTCCCGCCTTTTTATGCATCTCTATCAACTATCATCCCTTACTGCAAGATTTTGTTCATGGCGGAAAATAAAAAAAACACTATTTATTAGAACTTTATGCTAAGTGAATGGATATATTGTAAGATACGACCTTAAAAACAACGGATGGAAACGGGTTGCGAATGGATATTTGGCCTCATTTCAACCTCATTTTCCACATATATGAATAATCATGACCGCATTGAATGCTGGTTGACTAGGACCCTTTACATAAACCCCAGGTTTAACTCTACCCGCACTATTAGGGCGCGCGCTCGTGAACATATCCTTGCTCATCCAGCATTAATGACCATGACTATGCACAAATACACCTCGATTCGACATGCAATGTCTCCTGCAATGATTCACGTACCTATTCGAAATTTCTCCTTCTGCAATTTTTCTCGTGAATTCGTTAGMGTCTTGATTACTTCTTCTTGCGTATCGACCTAACAAATACAAGAAAAAATCTAAATAAATAAAGTGAAAGAATAAAAAAAAGTAAATGAATGAATGAAATATTAAACATATATTACATAAATATATATTAGAAAATTTACCAAAGTTTTGAGCATCTTGATTTCGTGTTGCATTCTGATCATRCAGCTTACTTGAGCCTGGTAGGCTTCGAGACTTTTGCCTTTCCTTAAAATAGAATAATAGCTATAAGGACTTGAGATACCAATTTGTATATTGAATTGGGCTTCCTTTGTCCTCCCTCAGGAGGGCACAGGAAACCCGAAACGAAAAAAGTCTACAAAAGACACTAGTACATTAACGTCAGTCAATCCTGATCTTTATTAACCTACACAAATTGCTTTATTTGAAGATGGACCACACATGATGTATGTAAAGTGTAATGTTATACTTAATATATAAATCATGATAATTTTAAAGTATAAATGTTTTATGCTACAGTACCATAGCTCAATCTCATTTTCCATTGCCTTGATTTCATAATCACTTCTGTGAACACCTGAGATATCATAACCTGCAACATAACAAATGAAGATGAATTGACTCTAAACTAAACATCATAGAAATGCAGGAAAGGTGGGTCAAAAAAAAGCATGAATGGAAGAAAGGATGGAAGGAAAATGGGAAAGAATGTTGAAGTGATGGTATAAGAAGTGGAATAATAAGGGTACTTTGAAGAAAAGAAACATAAATTTATGAATGGATGCATGAATGGAAGAAAGGATGGGAGGAAAATGGGAAAGAATGTTGAAATGATGGTATAAGAAGTGGAATAATGAGAAAGGGTACATTGAAGAAAAGAAATGTAAATTTATGAATGGTTGCATGAATGGAAGAAAGGATGGGAGGAAAATGGGAAAGAATGATGAAATGATGGTATAAGAAGTGGAATAATGAGAAAGGGTACTTTGAAGAAAAGTAATGATGAATTTACACCTTACCTGTGAATGGTGGTAGATAGCACATCAGCTTACTGTTGATCCAATGATCAGCCAAGTCACTAGTTTAAAGAGAAAATGAAATAAGAAATAAGTACTGCAAACAAGAAATAATAATTCACAAAAAAAACATACACTTACCTAAACCTACTACTCAAAATAACGTCATCACTAAAAAGATTTTTCTTGAAGAATTCCACCGCACTGTGGTCAGCATAAACTGCTATGCTATCATAGGGTCCAATGAAGGTAGGGTCTTTGATGGTCTGGAATATAATGTGATGAAGTTCATTGCTCACGTGTGAACAACAAAAAGATGAGTGTTTTTAAGACACAAATATGGATTATACTTACATTCAAAATCATTTTACCTATGCCACATTTTTGAAACTTTTTTCTTACAGCTAATAAGCTTAGTTGTAGAACTTTGTCCTTCACACTACTGCAAAGCAGATCCATGTTATTCATTCAGAATAATAATAAACATCATGGAAAAAACATTTAGTAAAAGAAWGAGCACACAAACTTTCAAAACTTCCTTTAACTGATTTACCCATAATTCCTTTCATATGTTGCTGCACCRACGATCAGCGACTCAATGCCTATTGTTTCATTTGATACTAAAAAAAGCAAAAAGCATTTACATGTAAAAATATGACTGAGAATAATGACCACTAGTAATGTTGGGATCCCTGTGTGGGAAGWAGCACAGGGATCCCGATAATAAATGGAACATTACCATCTCCAGAATCTCTTTGTGCTTTCCTTTGYTTTGCTGCTGATACAAAATCCTCAACACCGATAGAAAAGTCTTCTTCATCATCTTCTTCYTCGTCAGATGACTCCTGCTCTTCCTCAGAGTCACTGAAAACACCATCAAAGACTCCAGGGTCTTCGTCTTCTTCTTTTCCTTCAACTTTTTTTCTATWCTCATCCTTTTTTTCATTTGAATGATGTGMTAGAACTACTCCACTRTCAGAATGTTCMACATTRTTTTGWTCATCTGATTTATTTTCCAAAGAATTTACTTCTGAGTTCTCGTTTTCATCAGAGCTTTTCTGAAAATATGTAGTAACWGAATCATCCTCTCCGTTTTCTTTCATATCATGAAGCAATTTATCCTCTTCAATGTCATCTTCCCAATGTACATGTTTCTCTGTTAAAAAACTTGCTTGTTCAGACTTTAATTTTAGATTTCGACTAGTGATGGATTCCTCTTCTTCATCACTATCGGACGATGAGTCTTTTGAGTTGTTTTTATTGTGGATTTTTTTCTGCTGCTCTGTAAGGACATCTGTAGTAATCAAACAATGAATTTCTAACTAGAGCTGAACATCAGTAATTAGCACCAGGGTCGGAAAATGTGGTCACTTCATTTTTTTACCTGACAAACTTCGCATGAATACCAAGGTTTTGGCCCATTTTCCACAAACAGTACTGTACAAAACGTCTGGTGTGATATCTGGAAGRCATGTGTCATACAAACCAACCACACTGTGAAGGAGTTCGCCATTAGATACCTGAAGAACAAGGCAAAAATATTTTGTAAACATTCATGACTTTGGTGCGTCTTTTCTGTCAGCATAGCAACGASTTCAAAACTGTCAATAAGTATTTTTTCCACACACCTCTTGAAAACCTAGAGAATTGCAAGGTAGAAGTCTTCTGAACTCAATCACATAAGCCTGCAATTCAACCTTTTTCTTCAACTTGCGCGAGAAAAAGGAAAATTTATCTGGGAGCTTCCAAAAAATCGAATTCGCCGCCATCTTGAAGACACTTACTTACCACAGGTAACCCAAAACTTTTATCTTCGATATCATAATATAATTGTCGAAAGGCGAGACAAAGAAACTCGGAAGGTAGCTAAATATTGTTAAGAAATTTAGATCTTTTATGGTTATTGCCATTTTTACAAATTTTTTAACAGAATTTCATGAAAAGATTTCGTTTATATAGTTCCGAAGAGATTCCGACGATGATCCGACTAATGAAAATTCCGAGCATGCGCATGTTTGGTTTCTTCTCCTGTTTACAAAATGGCGACGATGTCTTCTTATTCCTGTCCACAGCATTGAACATGGAACTCGACAAATTCAACTTGATAAGTTTTAAACAGCGSTGAAACTAAGACCAYTAGACTGCCCYCTGATYAGCCATGGCAGATATTTTTAGATCAGCATTTAGTTACATAAGTCAGACAGCCAAAGTGGACAATGATTTTGTCGGKCAGTACGTGGAACTAGGTCCGGTCCAATTGAAGGTCAAAAAAGTACTTGCAGAAGGTAAATAATCCTCGATATCATTGCACTGTACGATGGGAGCACCTTGATTAATTATTTTTTGATTTGTTCAGGTGGATATGGCTTTGTTTTTGTGGCTCAAGATGAAAAAACCGGCAAGGAATATGCTCTGAAGGTCAGACCACATGTAACTCTTGATCATAGCTTCAATTAATCTTCATCATTCTAGCCTACGTACTTAGAATTTCAAGCTTACAGAAAGTCCCTTGTAGTATCTCCTCTCCCATAACACTTATGTTTATCTTATACCGTTATTTTTACACAAGATCACGGGAATAAACTTCACCCGTATGTATTTTGTAATGGTACGAACAGTACAGTTACGTCATGCATTTACAAGGCTTGTTACGTCTACGTCTTACGATTGAAAAAGTTGATTTGTAAACCGTTATCGTACAAGCACCCGTTAAAACCGGATAAAAACAGCTATACCTCTTTAAAATAAAGTGTGTCGGATGACTTTTATAGAAATCGAATTGAAAATTACTTTGATTAAATAATAACTTTGACATCTGTGTTTGACAGAGATTGATGGCTGGAGACGATGCGGGTAATAAAAGCATTATTGGAGAAATAAATACGATTGTATCCTTTGTAATGATATAATTATACCTTAAAACGTCATACAATTCCATTAGCTTACATAATACTGCCATAACACTCCTTAGAATTCTTTATTTTTAAGTAGCTTTTGGATTGCKTGTTTGGTCACTTCTATTGATGGCTTCAGTTTCAATTTTTCTTAATGCTGYCTTAGAAAAAGATTCGTGGACATCCAAACATTGTCCAGTTCTATTCAGCAGCATCACTTAGCGAGAAAGAATCTGGACATGGTATGACGGAGTATTTAATCCTCACAGAACTGTGCACAGGTACTATATATAATAAACTGTCGAGAAAATACAGGTTCCAAGAGTTATAGTGATGATAAGAATGTGTAAAGATACATGTACMACAATTATTGAAAAAYGTTGTCAGGTTTAAAAAAAATGGCTTCATTAAAGCTACAACCAAAGGGAATTTTKGATACTCTCAAAATTGAATAATATATTAATGTATGTACCTAAAGATATAGATTGTAAACTTTTCTTGTGTAGGRCATTATCATTGTTCAGTGTCTATAAAATGACACATTGTTGCACAATATTTGACTTTTTTTTCTTTTTGATTTACATACCTTCAATGATATGAACTTTCTGAAGCAGAAAGCATTTGTCCAAATATTGAATGTGTTTGATATTACAAACACTTTTTAATKCAAAATGTATTCTGTTATAGGAGGAGAACTAATCAAAGTATTGACTGAACGGAATGGCAAGCCCTTTCCTCCCTTGCAGTTGCTTAAAATATTTTATCAATTATGCCGAGCTGTTGCTCATCTACACAAACAAGATCCACCGATAATTCACAGAGACTTGAAGGTTTGATTTGYGTTCCTTGTTAAAATACYCATTAAATTGTTATTATTATTATTTCACTTCATATTTTCTTTATTCTTCATTATTCTCCCCATCAAAAAGCATAAAAACTCATAACGTCTKATATTTACACTCCTTCAATACACACAAAATTGAACCTAAAACATTTGTCTCTTTTTTAGATTGAAAATATGTTAATAGGCACAAAAGGGCTTGTGAAGTTGTGTGATTTTGGAAGTGCAACAACAAAGTCTCTGTACCCTGACGAATCCTGGACAGCGCTACAGAGGAGCCTTGCAGAGGATGAGGTGAGTCTAATTTCAACTTTCAGAGTGCAACCTAGTCTAATATGAGGGGATGATACTAAGTTGAATTCAAGTTGACATTTCCAAATTGCAGCTTAAACTATTAACTACATATACCCTGTATGTGTATGTAATTATTATAAATTTTATTTGCTTTTAGATCC